ATATTAAAATACTGTAAAATAAACTTTATATGACGCTTTTTTATTTCGGAGTTAATATTACCCTTGAAATTCGAGTCGGTCCCGGGTCGACCCGGGTTGAACGAGTCGAATCCGAGTCGAACAATGATCGGGTCGAGTCAAATCTCGGGTTCTGTAATTATTAACGGGTTCGAATTCGAATATGCTTCAAACCTGACCTGACCCGACCCTTACGGAGCACTATATATAAGTGTAGGATATACAAAGAGAAGGACAGACACGAAGAATGATGAAAGTGTTGATATTTTTTTTATGGCCTTATTTACCTTATTTTATCTCAGTTTATAAAAACTAAATGTTAAATTGAAAATAACTAAATAAAGAAAATTAAAAATGTGAATATAATCGCTTTTAACAAAAATAAGAATAATAATAAAATGGATAACAAAAAAAATAGCTATTTTTAATTTTTGTTAAAAAAAGAGAAGCTTGTGTAATGTACAACTAATAATTTAAAATGTTCCCGTGTCATTATATATTACGAGAATCTAAATATTTTTTTGTTCGTTCTAATAATGTAACTTATTCATTTTGTTTAAAAATAAAGTACTTTGAATGACTGAATACAGTACATTTGCGCAATGGTAACCATTGTAACACTACAATACATGTTAGTTTGGCTTTTTTTAGGCAGATCAACTTACAATAAAAAAAAAATTTCAAACTTGATTAGTGATTGCACAAATGGTTTTAAAGATTAACCTAAGAAATCTTGAGCAGAGAATTGAGAATTTAGAACAAAGTAAAAAAAAAAGATGAAGAAAATCAATTGCTGCTCTCCGAAATATGGGATGAATTAGGTATCAAGGACATAACTGATTTAAAAAGATTATTAGCGGGAAGAAAACTTACTGAACTATTAAATGAATTAAATGACCAAAAGCAAGATATTCAAAACTTAAATTTTGAATTAACTTGGTTAACTACTCAATTTAACTCTTTTGAAGAAAAAATGAAAGTGCAAGTAGAAGAAACTAATGCCAAGCAAGAAATTATTGAGGATTTAAAAGAAAAAATTAAGGAGCAAGAGAAAAATACCAAAGAACTTATTAATGATCTAAAAGAAAAAATTAGGAGTCAACTCAAAGAAATAATTAATGAATTAAAAGCGAAAATTTGGAGAGATAATAGTTTGAATTCAAGGTCAAATGAAATAAATAAACCCGTCACAGATGAAGAATTGATGAAAACACCTATCAAATCAGTCTGTAAACAGAACCGTTATAATAATGCATATTCACAAAAATATAACATCATAGGAAAAAGGTCAGATGAAATAAAATATGATGATAATTTGAGTTCATTATCGAAAAAACCAATTAAACCAGTTACAGATGAAGAGTATCAAGAATTGATGAAAACAACAATCCAAACTACGCGTAAAAATAATAATCTAAATTCAAAAGATAACTCTACAGAAAGTAGATCATTTGAAATAAAATCAATTAAACCTGTTACAGATGAAGAATTTCAAGAAATAATGAAAACACCCATCATTGGATCAAGAAAACCAATTGAGACTGTTACAGATGAAGAATTTCAAGAATTAATAAAAACACCCATCATCGGATCAAGAAAACCAATTAAACTTGTTACAGATGAAGAATTTCAAGAAATAATGAAAAAACCACCCATCATTAGATCAAGAAAACCAATTGAGACTGTTACAGATGAAGAATTTCAAGAAGTAATGAAAACACCCATCATCGGATCAAGAAAACCAATTAAACTTGTTACAGATGAAGAAATTCAAGAATTAATGAAAACACCCATCATCGGATCAAGAAAACCAATTAAACTTGTTACAGATGAAGAATTTCAAGAAGTAATGAAAACACCCATCATCGGATCAAGAAAACCAATTAATCCTGTTACAGATGAAGAATTTCAAGAATTAATGAAAACACTTAAACCTGTTACTGGAGAATTTCGAGAATTAATGAATTCACCCATCATCCCATAGTCTGTAAACAGAAGCGTTATAATAATTAAACATTTTTACAAGGTAAAAACAGCATGAGAAGATAGTTGAATTATTCAAGATCAAATAAATATTTACGGACGAGAATGTTATCTACTTCTTGAAATATTCAACGTCAAATCACTTTTTTTTATTTTTGATTTTAGAGACAAAATGTTATATATTTTTTTTTTGTTAATTATAGAGTGATTAAGATCATTCTATTTTGTTTATTTGTATTAATTTAAAGGTATGATTATTTTTTCGTTTTTAAATTCTTTTGAAACTTAAAGAATAAATCTCCTTGTTCTATCAACTCAAATCTATATCTATTAACTGAATTTTCACCTTATTATTGTTAAGTTTCGGTATCAATTGATATCTGAAGAACCAGAAAAAAAATTGTCGCTGTTATTCTCCCAATAACGAATCTTGTAATAAATTAATTAATAATCACTGTATGGTATTTTATTAAAAAATAAAAAATAAAAAATGAGAAAACAATAAATATCAAACGTTAAAGAGTAAGTTCGTTCGTTTAAAAACATTGTTGCAAAACAATAATTGGATTTATAAAATAAATGTATTAAGCTTGATACATATTTTTTTTTTGTTTACCTTACAGCGCTCTCGTGATTAATCAATAAGCGACGTTTCTACCCTATATTTCTGATTCAAAAAATTATATTCCAAACCAGAATCATTTACCTTAATTAAGAAACTTTATTTTCAGGAAATGGAATGCTCTCGTTAACTAGTTGGATCGGTCCGATCGGTCAACAGTCCCTAGTACTTTCATGGGACCGGTCGTAAGACCGAACTTGAACCAGTCAACATTTATAAATAACAGTTTAGTTTTTATGAAAATAATTTACTAATTTTTAGTATTTATTTTCGCGATTATAATTGCGAGCAAAGCTCATTAATAATCTAATTAAATCGATCGTCTATATATAATTTCAAAGATAACTTCATTTATAGGTTGGAAAATTTTTCGTTGGCATGTCTAATTTAATTTCATATTGATCGATTTATTACTAATAAATATTCACCATTTACCGAACCAAAATTCAAACCAGAGTTAAATATATTTTCAAAACCAAAATTTATACATATAACACATAATTTCTCTCGAATTTAACTGTTTCCATGAAACTTTTATTTATTATATTTGAGTTTCAATATTTTAGTTGCCAAGGAAATTTATGGTTTCATTTCGCTACACCTATGCAAAGCAAACGTTAATGATAAAAGGAAAAGGGTTCGTATCATGAAAAAAATTCACCAGAAATCTTTTATCTAAGTAATAATTAGACTTATTAACATCGGTTTAAGCTCTAGTAATTACTGCAGAATACGTGACTAAAAGATGCTGATTTATTATGTTATTTACCAATAATTCTTCGCTTATTCAAAAGTAATTGTAAATTCTTAAGAGAATTATCACCATTCGTATGTATAACACTGTCTAAATCAGTTTTATAATAGGTCCAATATTTGTGGATATTACCATTTTGGCGTTTTTTCTTCATTCAACATGATTTATCAGTAATTATGTTTTCTTAATTACTGCATCTAGTGTACCCTTAAATTGCTATTCGAAAGATCAATCTTCAAAACCAAACCCCATTTTCTGTTTGAGTATCAAAATCAATTTTAATTGCGAAATCACATTTATATTTTTTCACAGAAATTTGTTACTTCAATCAATTTTTCTTTTTTATTTTTTAAAAAATTGTTATATCCTGGGTGGTTGGGATAATTATCATTACGTTCATATCAAAACCGTCATTCCCGAACTTACATGTTTGCATGATGTTTTTCAAGAAATATTGACAAAAAAGGCACTTTCATTACCATACATTCAAAATTCAATAAAACGAAATTAATAATAAATTTTATATATTAATAAATTCGCGTTGTACGAATTATCTGAAATCGCTATAATTATTATCCCAGCCGCGACTTATTTATCTGGAACTTTTCAATATTATTATTGCCCGACGAAGCTCTTTTTTGATAATCGTAAGTTTGCTATTGAGAAAAAATAGAAGCAAAAAAGTAAATAATTTTTGTCTGTATAAAATGAGGTAAGGGTCAGTATATAATTAAAAGTTATTTTCGCGACAACGAGGTAAATTATGTTAATAAATTTAATGAAGTAATATTGTTTTACTAATCATAGTAAACTCCTCTTGATCTGCTGTTATCTAAAGTTATTAATATAAAAAACTACATAATTTAAAAATTGATTTGATATCATGTGAGGCTTGTTCACGTGATAAAATTATCTTTATAACACTGAAATTTATTTATAAAAGGAAAACTTGTTCATTTAATTCCGCGTTAAATATTATTAATCATGATTCTTGCCATTTTTATAGTAAAAATTATTACAGCTTTCTCTTGACAAGACCTGTATTATATTTAATACGTGCATTTGATTTTTTATTCATATATTTAAGTTAATTTCATTAGATCAAAAGCAAGGTACTTGAAATAATTACTTTTACAAGAAATCCTATCCTTTTGTTCATAAAGAATAGTAGTATGAAATTCTAATGGTATTTTTCCACGACTATATTTAAATTGTAAAGAAATTTCATCATCTAATAATCCGTGATTTACCAGGGTAAAAGATTGAAATAAATTATTTGATACTAAGGAACTAATGTAGTTGAGTCTTTATGTTGCGCCTGAAAAATAGCCTCCGTTATAAAATTGGCAATAAAAGCAACCGCCTTGAGATTTTCATTATTTCAGTAGTTTAATATATTGGGAGGTTTACCATTAAAATCAAGTTACGAACATAGTAAATCATATCATCCGTAACGTGATTTTAATAGCTTACCTCCCATATGTAAATTTTAATTTGATAAATTACACCGTACGAATTGAAAGAGCTACTGACTTTATCTATCGTAGCTTTGTAAATGTGGAAGTGTTTTTTATGAGTTTTTTTTATTCCAACATGATTTTAATATTCATCACAAATAGGAATTTCTGAGTTATTATCTAATCTTGTTCTGCATAATACGGTTCTCAGTCAAATAGAATAAATTAAAAGTTTGAAATTTTTGATCAAAAATTTTATAAAAGCATTTCGTTAATGATATGCAAAAAATAAGTGTGATACTTGAACACTTTTACTGAGCCAAATCATAGAAATTTGCATTTTCTGATTTTATTATTAGTTCTTTAATAATAATAAACATCATCTGATCATCTGAATTAGTTCGAAATCAACAAAATTATTTAAGTAAAAAGCGAAGCTTTACAAAATGTATAAAACTAATTTATTTTCATTAGATATTGCTTGTAACTAGATAATGATCCCAAACATTAACAATTTTTGTTTATTTCCTAAAAATTTAAAACCATACCATAAATTTTGTTCCAATATAGTTGACAGAAAAGCTTTACCAAAGCGAAACAAATAATCAAAACATTTTGTACAATAAATTGAATAAATGAAGCGAAAAGGATTTACAAAAAATTACTTCAACATTCTTCGCAAAACCTCATTTACATTATTCAAGATCACTTATGTAATAATTTTTTAAGTTTCAATTTTAATTTTTCAATACTACCTTTTTTAAAGAGTTGATTTGAATTACTGTATATGTCAAAAAATTATTTAAGTATGATGATTTTATTAATTCCAGAAAACTTTTTGGTCTCCTTATTCACAATTAGTGTTCCGAAAGGGTCGAATCGGGTCGGGTTTGAGGATGTACTCGGACTCGACCCGTTTATAAAAACCAACCC